CCTTTACTAATAACTTAGTTCTATCCCCTGAGTTCATCTTATCCAACCCTCTCCCTGAGACTCAAGGATGGTAACCCTATTCACAGAGCCAAGGGTAGATCCTGACTGGTCTGTACCATCGAGTGTATCTCATTCCCTTTGCCAGTGATGAAGTTTGAAATGGGCACATGACCTGATTCTGGGAACTAAGATATAAAGGTATATCTGCTGGAAAATTTGTGATAAAATTTTCCTCTATTCTAAGAAAGAGATACAGGAAGACATGGTTTTCTTTCTTCCTTTGGATGTTGTGATATCTGATGTGATGGCTGGAATTGCTGCCAACCTCTAGCCTGGTTTGGACACCAATATACATAAAGCAGGTCAAATCCAAGAGAATTATAGATGTCACATTTTCAGCGATGTTTATTTTAAGATTTTTTTTTTTTTTTTATCTGAGGGAGAGAATGGGAGACAGAGAGCATGAGAGGGGGAGGATCAGAGGGAGAAGCAAACTCCCTGCTGAGCAGGGAGCCCGATGCGGGACTCGATCCCGGGACTCCAGGGGAGTCTTGCTTAACCAACTGAGCCACCCAGGCGCCCCTTCAGCGATGTTTAGAACCACAAAGGACTTCTTCAATTTTATATCCCCAGCACCAGGAAGCATGTGCCACATACTGGATGCTTAGCAAATATTTGTTGGATGGATGGGTGGATGGATGGATGGATGGATGGATGGAAGGAAGGAAGGATGAATGGATGGCTGGATGGATCTCCCAGCATCCTGCTTGTTGTGCTTTCCAGTATCTGCCTCCTTCTCCAATATCTTGTTAATCACGGAATCTTTGTATTACATAAAAGATCAAGAAGAGGAAAAGTGTTTAGGCAAGAAGTTCAGAAAATAATAAAACTGAAAAGCAGCCCTGACTGGTATCCTAGGAGTACCTCAAGGCATCAGGAGAAAGAAGCTGAGCTGGTCCTGGGGTCTTTGTTGTAGGGGTGGAGGGGGCATGTTTGTGATAGCCACCCAACTCTCCTTCAGCTTCAGCTTCTCCTTTCACCAGAGCTTACAAAACCCAAGGCTCTATTACTTCAAACACAGGTGTATATCTCACAGGTGTTGGGGAAGGGAGATTTCCCTAAATTAATGATATCTGGGTATCTGTGATGAACCAGATGTAAGGAGAGAAGAAAATCATGAAATCTTACTTGTATAGAGTAGTTACTCCACACCAGGCATCCTCTCTGCCTGTATCATTTCGCTTAGTCCTCACCACCACCCAGTGAGTTAGGCACCATGGCTTCCCACACTTAACAGGTAAGGAGATTAGAGCCTAGAGTTTAGGTGACTTGCCCACAGCCTCTAGGTGGTGAACCTAACTCCAGAACCTAGAGAAATGGATGCAAAGTTGCCTTCTGACTATTTTCCTCAAATATCAGTTGGTTAGCAGTTCACTTTACTTTGTTTTTAAACCACAATTTATTGAGAAGCTACCAATAGGTCTGACCCTACATGTACCTTGTCTTTTCAAATACCTCATTTATTTTGGGGACCTGGATATTATTATCTACTGAGAAGATGGTGGCCCAGAGATGTTTAGAAACCATACCAGAGTCACCCAGCTGGTAGGTGACAGAGCCGCCCCAGTCCACTTAAATCCGGGGTTCTTTCTAATACCCCACAGCTTCTTCCATTCTCAACTCTGGCAAGAGCCTGGAGAACATAGACTATTCATGGGAAGGTACCCAGGCCTTAAATCCAAGTAGCAAGGTCAACATTTTGTAACAAAATGGGAGAATGATAGGTGACCTGTATTCCCAAATGACTGAAGGACCAATGAGTCGGTCATTGGAGGGCCTGAAACCAGGGCCAAATTTTCCTTGCAGTCAGTAGCGTGCTGCAGACTGGCTCTCTGAAAGGAAAGCTGTGATTTGTAATGTTTGCCCTCATTGTATAACTTGTTCCCCATAGTAAATTCCAAGCTACCAACTGCTGAGCACCTGGCTTGCAGGCATCAGTTGGCTCCAGCACACTCTGCCTACAGAGCACCACTGGCCCCGCACAGAGGCAACACCAGTGTTGGCCATGGCCCTAGAATTCCAGATCTCATGGTTTCTCCCCCCGGCTCCCTCTCTCAGGAATGGCACCTCCATCTATCCAGGTGCCCAAGGGCAAGTCATGGAGAACTACTGGGTGGTCCCCTTCTGCCCACTTCCAAACATTGGCCAAGTCTGCTCTCTTCTACCTCCTAAATAGCCTTCAAACCCATCTATTCCATCCTCTCTGCCCCTGCCGGGTCCAAGCCTTTATCATCTCTTGCCCAGACCACCACGTGATGTCCTAACTGATTCTCCTTCATCCACTCCTGCCCTTCTGAGTAAGGGTATCTTTCATACTCTGCCCAGAGTCATTCTGTGACAGTGCAAATCTGACTGCGTTGCTCCTTTAAGGAAAATCCTTCATTGGCTCCCTGTAGCTTTAAGATTATGACCAGTCCTCACCACTCTCTGGACCCAGCCCTGTAGGATGGCCTCTCCCTTCTCCAGTGTTAGCTCACCACTCTGGTCCCTGGCTTACTGTGCTTCAGCCTTACCGGTCTTCTCGCAGTTCCCCCAGTGAGTCCAGCAGTTTCATGCCTGGGGTCTTTATATGTG